ACAGTCTGGAAACCCACAACGGCTGCGCACTCGGTTCTCCCTTTGCACGCGGATGCAAAGCCGAAATCTATTGCGCCGTTGCTGTCAATGCACATGACCGTGTGCTGCCGCGTCTACAAGATCGGTCCTCGCCACGTGCTTCGGTACTGCGTCCGCGTGCGCGGTCGCCAGTCAATCAGACGCTGCCGAAAAAACGCTCCGCAGTCCGAACCAACTGAACGTTTATTGTCCAATCAAACGCCGCCTACGACTTTTGTAGCCACTTGTCGCGCATTGCGCGCCATTGACGAGACAGCGCTATTGGCGTCGATTGACGTCCGGACGTGGAGCGTGGCACTGCAGCGACGACCGGAGGCTCAAGGCGAACGCGTGGCAGCGGAGCTCTTGGGTTTAATCGCGAGTTGTAGTTGCGAACATGCAAGTGTACCCATGTGGACCGATTTGTTTTTTACAGTGTGACGACAGCGTTCTTTACGCGGGTTTCGAACGGATGAGATGCAGGAGCTCTTGAGACAGTTAAAGCGGAGATACGGACCGCAATTTGTAGCCCGCGTGCTCGTAGACGTGGTCATGGCTGTGCCAATATCAAGATGTTTGCAGATGCTCACGAGCTGCTGCTGTATCAGCAGACGTTGTGGTCGGAGATTTGCTCTGGTACTACTACTTCTACTACTACAGACGAGACATTGACGACGGGGTGGAGCGAGCAGAGTAAAGCGCTGATGCCGCCATCAGTGGTTGGCTACTTGATGGCCAAGATGATGCACAGGAAAAAGCACGGTCAAGTGCTGGCGCTTGCACGCACGTAGTTTGCTAGTGCTGCGTTCGATCCAGTGCGAGATTTCCAGCAGCAAGGGTTCCTTGAACTGTTTAAAGCAAGTGTGCACACGTAACAGTGTCCGAAATATGGTGCACGTGTTTTCGGACTACGTGGAGGGAACGTGCCGTGCAGCAGGAGGCAAGGTGGAGAGAGTGAGGACACGAGTGCTCGAGCGAGGCTTTGGAGCTGCGATTCACTGCTGTGTAAATCTTGATGAATATTCGCTGGCGTTGCATTGTTATGAGTGATGGAAAGCGCTCGAGAGAGGCTCGTTTGTGCTGGGGACGGCTTACCGGTGGACGACGCGATCGACGAAGCTGCAGAGAGGGTTGGAGTCGTGGATGAAGTGCTGCTAGCTGATGAAAATGTATACGTCAACGTGTTGAAAGCATGTACGGCGATCGAGGATTTCTCCACGTTTAAAGATGTGTTCCGCGGGATGGTAGCTTGAGGTGTAGCACGTAGTGCTGGATTTGGGTCGGCGATCCGTTATTGTCACAAGTATTTAGATCCAGTGTTCCATGAAGAAGTGTTGGACGAGGTATTTTTGACGGAGCAGGAGCTTGCGGGTGCCTGGATGTTAGAGGTAGAAAACTACAATGATGCGCTTGGCTGTTTTGCAGCTACGAATAGGCCGGATCAAGCCAAGGAACTTTTCTCGCACATGCTGAACAACTCGTCGATAGTGCCCGGAATATTACGATGCTTGAGATGGTGGAGAGTCAGTGCAACGCCTCGTTTGAGGAGGCGTTTAATCTCATGGACGTGTTACTTGAGTGGAAGCTAACATCGGATCTTCAGATGTTCACATCGCTGCTGTCCATCTACATGCGCCGTCGTGAAGTAGGCAATGCTGTTGCGCTCATTGGTGCGATGGGAGAGCATGGTATCGTTCAGGATGTGAAGGCATTCACGACTGTAGCGTTCATTATGCATCCCGCGGTGACTTGAAGGCTGTGGGAGACGTTTTACGAGATATGGCTAGTCAAGGTGTGTTGCTACCGACAGGATGTTCTTTGACTACGTCCTCAACGCACTGTACGGGTCGTGCGGTACCGACATGTGTTTCTCGCTCTTGCGTGAGCTGAGTGCAAACAATCTGGCGATTCCAGACGGGCTGTACATCTCGCTAATTGATCTCGGTACCACGATTGGTTTGATTGAGTGCACGCTGCATATTGCGTACAACATGGAGTGCAAAGGCTGTCATCTCTCATCGAAGCAGTTGTACGCGTTGATGATGCGTTGTCACTCGGACGGCGAGATTTCAGAGTTTGTGCGGACGTTTGTGCTGTTACACCAGGGCGTGCCGCCCCAGACTCCGCGCTTTGAGGTGGAAATGTATGAAGAGTTGATATCGGTGCTGACGCAATTCAGTCGCAAAAACGAAGTCCCGAAAGTGCAGGAGCTGGCTAGATCAGTGGGGTACACTGATTTGCTTGTTTAAGCATGTTCGTTGGTGCGAATTGGCCGTGCCGCGCCACGCCGCGCCGCGCTCAAGGCATATTTACCCACAAAATCACGGTCCGTATGTTCTTCTTTCACACGGCATTTTATTGTTTTTGTTCCATCTATGCTAATATCCGGTGTCGACGTACTGCTCAAGCTGCTTAAGCAGGGGTTGGTAGAGCTTTTCGTTGGCTTGAACAGCCCAAAGTCCAAATGGCTAAAGCTGCTGATCTCTTTCTCATAGACAATTGTGCTGGACGGCAACGCAGATCGTAACTGATTGATGTCAGCTCGAGTGGCAAAGGTGTCGTTCCACCAGTATATAATCCAGTGCGAGGGTACTCCATGCTACACAGGTGAATGCCAAGCGTGCGAGGACATCTGCAGCCATAGTCGAACGATGAAAAGGTGTTGTCGCGGATGCTTTGGGCATAGTGGTGCATACTCTTGACGGAGGTTCCTGAGGGCACATCTGAAGCGTAATCGCCTATGCGAGATGCGTTCAAATTCTCCGTAGATTTGACTACGAGTGCAAACCCTGAGGCGCATAATTCCGGACCCATGTGACATGCAGCCGGTTGAATGTCGTAGCGACGCGATATGCGAAAAGAGCTGGACTTGACTGGAAGGGGCGGACCGACCGGAGGCCTCGAGGACCTTGTCGACGTAGGCACGAGCAAGGAGCTTGAACCCGTCCTCGAATCTGTATTGCCTAGCCAGGCAACAGGTCCCAGAGCCGCACAATAGGACACGGATCGAGCAAGGGTCTGGTTTTTGCAGCAAACGCGACGAATGCCTGAGTTGACCCCTGCGAATACCCTACAAGAGCCAGTGTCTCCCGTCCCGACGTCTCCAGAGCATAGTTGAGCATTGCTGGCACGTCAAACTGCCCATGTCTTCCCATGAAAAGTCCCAGAACGCAGTGTCTTTGGTCGTGTACTTAGCGTGGCTGGACGAGTACGTATTGCCGCGATTATTCCCAAGCCAGACATCGTAGCCAGCATCAGCAAGCACGTAGGCGAGACTGTGGTTCCGGGAGTTGCACACCCATGCGAAACTACTGGCCACCATTTCATGCTGGACGAAAACAGCTGGTTTGTTTCGGTCTGCCCTGTCGTTGTCGGTGGCATCTGCTTGGCTTTCTCTGTACGACGTTGGTAAGCGATGGATGGAGAGGATGTATCCATCTATTGTCGTGACATTGTGCGTCTCCACTACGTACCCACGCGCTTGAACGAGCTCAACAGTGGACTTCCCAGCATCTGGATCGAGGTCTAGCTCAGCTGCCGTGACTTTGTCGAAGTGCAAGAGCGAGTGAGTTGAGCTCGTTCAAGCGCGTGAGTACGTAGTGGAGACGCACAAGTCACGACAATAGATGGATACATCCTCTCCAGCATCGCTTACCAATGTCGTACAGAGAAAGCCAAGCAGATGCCACCGACAACGACAAGGCAGACCGAAACAAACTAGCTGTTTTCGTCCAGCATGAAATGGTGGCCAGTAGTTTCGCATGGGTGTGCGACTCCCGGAACCACAGTCTCGCCTATGTGCTTGCTGATGCTGGCTACGATGTCTGGCTTGGGAATAATCGCGGCAATACGTACTCGTCCAGCCACGCTAAGTACACGACCAAAGACACTGCGTTCTGGGACTTTTCATGGGAAGACATGGGCAGTTTGACGTGCCAGCAATACTCAACTATGCTCTGGAGACGTCGGGACGGGAGACACTGGCTCTTGTAGGGTATTCGCAGGGGTCAACTCAGGCATTCGTCGCGTTTGCTGCAAAAACCAGACCCTTGCTCGATCCGTGTCCTATTGTGCGGCTCTGGGACCTGTTGCCTGGCTAGGCAATACAGATTCAAGGACGTTCAAGCTCCTTGCTCGTGCCTACGTCGACAAGGTCCTCGAGGCCTCTGGTCAAGTCCAGCTCTTTTCGCATAACGCGTTGCTACAAAAAATCATTCGACCGGCTGCATGTCACATGGGTATGGAATCGTGCGCCTCGGGGTTTGCACTCGTAGTCAAATCTACGGAGAACTTGAACGCATCTCGCATAGGCGATTACGCTTCAGATGTGCCCTCAGGAACCTCCGTCAAGAGTATGCGCCAATATGCCCAAAGCATCCGCGACAACACCTTTCATCGTTCGACTATGGCTGCAGATGTCCTCGCACGCTTGGCATTCACCTGTGTCCGAAAAACAGGTGCACCAACAAAGTCAAGTACGGCAGCTTTGACCCACCAGATTTTCCCATTAGCAGCATGGAGTACCCTCGCACTGGTTTATTTACTGATGGAACGACACCTTCGCCACTCGAGCTGACATCGATCAGTTACGATCTGCGTTGCCGTCCAGCACAATTGTCTATGAGAAAGAGATCAGCAGCTTTTAGCCATTCGGACTTTGTTTGGGCTGTTCAAGCCAACGAAAAGCTCTACCAACCCCTGCTTAAGCAGCTTGAGCAGTATGTCGACACCGGATACTAGCATAGATGGAACAAAAACAATAAAATGCCGTGTGAAAGAAGAACATACGGACCGTGATTTTGTGGGTAAATATGCCTTGGGCGCGGCGCGGCGTGGCGCGGCACGGCGAACCGCACCAACAAATATGCTTAAACAACCAAATCAGTGTACCCCACTGATCTAGCCAGCTCCTGCACTTTCGGGACTTCGTTTTTGCGATTGAATTGCGTCAGCACCGATATCAAATCTTCATACATTTCCACCTCAAAGCGCGGAGTCTGGGGCGGCACGCCCTGGTGTAACAGCACAAACGTCCGCACAAACTCTGAAATCTCGCCGTCCGAGTGACAACGCATCATCAACGCGTACAACTGCTTCGATGAGAGATGGTAGCCTTCGCACTCCATGTTGTACGCAATATGCAGCGTGCGCTCAATCAAACCAATCGTGGTGCCGAGATCAACCAGCGAGATGTACAGCCCGTCTGGAATCGCCAGCTCGTTTGCACTCAGCCTACGCAAGAGCGAGAAACACATGTCGATACCGCACGACCCGTACAGTGCGTTGAGGACGTAGTCAAAGAACATCCTGTCGGTAGCAACACACCTTGACTAGCCATATCTCGTAAAACGTCTTCCACAGCCTTCAAGTCACCGCGAGATGCATGAATGAACGCCATAGTCGTGAATGTCTTCACATCCTGAACGATACCATGCTCTCCCATCGCACCAATGAGCGCAACAGCATTGCCTACTTCACGACGGCGCATGTAGATGGACAGCAGCGATGTGAACATCTGAAGATCCGATGTTAGCTTCCACTCAAGTAACACGTCCATGAGATTAAACGCCTCCTCAAACGAGGCGTTGCACTGACTCTCCACCATCTCAAGCATCGTAATATTCCGGGCACTATCGACGAGTTGTTCAGCATTTCCGAGAACAGCTCCTTGGCTTGGTCCAGTCTATTCGTAGCAGCAAAACAGCCAAGCGCATCGTTGTAGTTTTCTACCTCTAGTGTCCAGGCACCTGCAAACTTCTGTTCTGTCCAGAATACCCCGTCCAACACTTCTTCATGGAACACTGGATCTAAATACTTGTGACAATAACGAATCGCTGATCCGAATCCAGCACTACGAGCCACACCTCAAGCTACCATCCCGCGGAACACATCTTTAAACGTGGAGAAATCCTCGATCGCCGTACATGCTTTCAACACGTTGACGTATACATTTTCATCAGCTAGCAGCACTTCATCCACGACTCCAACCCTCTCTGCAGCTTCGTCGATCGCGTCGTCCACCGGTAAGCCGTCCCCAGCACAAACGAGCCTCTCTCGAGCGCTTTCCATCACTCATAACAATGCAACGCCAGCGAATATTCATCAAGATTTACACAGCAGTGAATCGCAGCTCCAAAGCCTCGCTCGAGCACTCGTGTCCTCACTCTCTCCACCTTGCCTCCTGCTGCACGGCACGTTCCCTCCACGTAGTCCGAAAACACGTGCACCATATTTCGGACACTGTTACGTGTGCACACTTGCTTTAAACAGTTCAAGGAACCCTTGCTGCTGGAAATCTCGCACTGGATCGAACGCAGCACTAGCAAACTACGTGCGTGCAAGCGCCAGCACTTGACCGTGCTTTTTCCTGTGCATCATCTTGGCCATCAAGTAGCCAACCACTGATGGCGGCATCAGCGCTTTACTCTGCTCGCTCCACCCCGTCGTCAATGTCTCGTCTGTAGTAGTAGAAGTAGTAGTACCAGAGCAAATCTCCGACCACAACGTCTGCTGATACAGCAGCAGCTCGTGAGCAGCTGCAAACATATTGATATTGGCACAGCCATGACCACGTCTACGAGCACGCGGGCTACAAATTGCGGTCCGTATCTCCGCTTTAACTGTCTCAAGAGCTCCTGCATCTCATCCGTTCGAAACCCGCGTAAAGACGCTGACGTCACACTGTAAAAAACAAATCGGTCCACATGGGTACACTTGCATGTTCGCAACTACAACTCGCGATTAAACCCAAGAGCTCCGCTGCCATGCGTTCGCCTTGAGCCTCCGGTCGTCGCTGCAGTGCCACGCTCCACGTCCGGACGTCAATCGACGCCAATAGCGCTGTCTCGTCAATGGCGCGCAACGCGCGACAAGTGGCTACAAAAGTCGTGGGCGGCGTTTGATTGGACAATAGAACGTTCAGTTGGTTCGGACTGCGGAGCGTTTTTTTGGCAGCGTCTGATTGACTGGCGACCGCGCGCGCGGACGCAGCGCCGAAGCGCGTGGCGAGGACCGATCTTGTAGACGCGGCAGCACACAGTCCTGTGCATTGACAGCAACGGCGCAATAGAACCGCGTCGGGTGGCTGCCACATACCTGCTCGCTGCCACACCCGACGCAGCATCTCGAGCCGTTTGTTTTTTTGAAACAAACGAGAAGTGAGTGTTTGGTGTCGTCCACACCAACGTCGAGTTTCGTCACAAGCAGGTCGTATTTAGTGTCCACCACAGCAACTGACTCGTCAGCACAGTAATGACTGCGTCCCCGCGAGGTAAAGACCATCTCCCCCCTCTCTCTCTCTCTCTCTTGCTAACGCTCTGCATAATTAAAGCGCTCTGACTAAAGATTTGCCGCTCATGCTTGCTTGGTACGCGGAGGATGTGACTCGCCTTGTCGAGAAAGAGGTGCAAGAAATAGAAGAGGTTCTTCGCGGCATTTACCCCGAAACCGCCTTCATCGAGTGGGAGCCTGATGGCAAAGAGTCGGAGATGCGTGCCGTGTTGAGTGTGCAGACAAATTCTTCCCGTACGAGCGAGCGTGAAGCCATGACACGAGCGCTGGCACTGCTTGCACGGACATTAGAGCGGAAGACAACAGGCGCTGATCGTCCAGGTACTACCGGCACGAGTGAGTACATGTTCAGTGGTGGTACGTGTGAAGTGTGGATTTGCTTGTGTTCAATTGGCGTTGGAAACTACGGGTAAAACATACCTTCAACAACCGATCAGATTCGAGAGCGCGTTCTGTGTCAATATCGAGAAACGTAGCAGCCATTGCTACACGAACAATGCATGAACCAATGCACAAGTCGTTGCTGCGTCAATACTTTTAGCATGCAATGAATTCACTTTTACACCTCGGGTGCCTTCATGTTACATTGAAACCAATACTACCACATCCCCTGCTCGAGTCTGCTCACTAGTCCTTCCCCTTTGCTTAATGATACTTTCACGCACCAGGCTGCCAGAGGTTTCAATGTGACTTGACGTTTCCATTCGCGACAACACTTGTTCACACCCCGCTGGGTGAGACGTTGCCACAGCTGAACAGCGAAAAGAAGGGGTGGTGCGAAATCAAGCACAGTACACGAGGTATCCATTCCAAATTTGCCTCACCAACAGATGCTGCATCGCAACAAAAACACGTTGCTGGCAACAATTTCGATAAAGTAATCGACGAGTCGCATCGTAGCACTTCGAAACGCGCTCTCTCTTTCTCTTGTTCTTGTTCTCTCTTTGATGGAATACTAAGAATAAAGCCCGTCGAAAACTCGCAGGCGCGCTGGATACTGGTGTGCGCCACATCACTTAACGTGTGGGGCTTCCAAGGCTGGCAAAAGCTCGCCACATGCTGCGCTCGCTGCAGTTGTCGCTGCGGCGTTCATAGAGCGTGCGCACGCTGCCTGTCGCTTGGATGCGTCTTCATCGCATGTTGCCCTGTCCAGCTCCGATCGCGGTGACGCAGTCGCTTTCGCTCCGATGGCTTGCAACGACAGTCCCTAATGGACAAGACTTGGATACTGAACAAGCTTCTGAGATGAAGAGGAAGGAAAAAGAGGAGAAGAAGAAGAAGATGTGTACAAAAGGCAGTGGTGATGATGGCGAAATTGACAAGAGGACGGGGACAATAAGGAGGAGGAGCCGTTTCGGGCAATGGCTGTTGAGCCCACGTGCCCTATGCGGAAGCTCCGTACGGACGTGAATCAGGCCTATTTTCCAGGTAAAGTGTGCTGTTCGACGTCTCAAGACGTGGATCTTCAATCCATGGTCGGCAACACACTCATCATGACGCTCAAAGTGCTGGTGTAACTCAAGACGGGCTCGAATGCCATGCTCTCGGAAGCAATTCACTCGCTCGTGGACACTGGCAACCAGGCGATTCTGATCTTGGGCTTGAAGCAAGCATCGAGTGTGCCGGATAAAAAGCACCAATATGGATACACACGTGCTGCGTACTTTGGATCGCTCATCTCCGCGCTTGGCATATTCTGGTTAGGTTCTGGGGTGACGGTTGTCCACGGGATCCAGTCGCTCTTGGATCCTCCGAAAGAGCTTTTTCTTTTGTGGGAAGTGTGGGGTGTGCTAGCAGCTTCCTTTGGCATTGACGGATGGGTGCTGAAGCGGTCGGTACAGGAACTGAGGGCTTCTCAGCCCCAAGACATGTCGTTTTACAAGCATGTGACGCGGACAAAGGATCCGTTTATGATGGCTGTGCTGCTGGAAGACATGTCAGCATGTGTGGGTATCGTTATTGCTGGATGTGGCATTGGGGCCAGCCACATTACAGGCAACCAGGTGTGGGACAGTCTCGCTAGTGTATCGATTGGCGTGCTTTTTGGCGGTGTTGCAATATCGCTCATTCGAATGAATCAAAAGTATTTTTTGGGCCAGTCAGTGGAACCGGAAATCGAGAATGGCATCCGCGAGTTACTGCTGGCGCGTCCGTTAATTGACAACGTCTATGCTGTCCAGTCACAGTGGGTCGGGCCATCGACATTTAGCTACAAGGTATGACGGCAGGACAGCGCGACTTGTATCGCCATTTATGTTAGGTCTTGACCCGCGCAATACTTTTGGCATGTTCTAGGCTGAAGTTGACTTCGATGGGACGTTCTTGGCGGCGAAACTGCTGCGAATGTAAGCGTCATGATTCGTTTTGTCCTGCTCATTCTTCGGTACTATCGACGTGTGTTTTGTTTTGTCTTGGCCTGGGTAGGTGCAAGCCGGTGTTTTTTGAGACAAAAGATTTAGAAAAAGGTTTGCCGCTCATGCTTGCTTGGTACGCGGAGGATGTGACTCGTCTTGTCGAGAAAGAGGTGCAAGAAATAGAAGAGGTTCTTCGCGGCATTTACCCCGAAACCGCCTTCATAGAGTGGGAGCCTGATAGCAAAGAGTCGGAGATGCGTGCCGTGTTGAGTGTGCAGACAAATTCTTCCCGTACGAGCGAGCGTGAAGCCATGACACGAGCGCTGGCACTGCTTGCACGGACATTAGAGCGGAAGACAACAGGCGCTGATTGTCCAGGTACTACCGGCACGAGTGAATATATGTTCAGTGGTGGTACTTGTGAAGTGTGCATTTGCTTGTGTTCAATTGGCGTTGGAAACTACGGGTAAAATATACCTTCAACAACCGATCAGATTCGAGAGCGCGTTCTGTGTCAATATCGAGAAACGTAGCAGCCATTGCTACACGAACAATGCATGAACCAATGCACAAGTCGTTGCTGCGTCAATACTTTTAGCATGCAATGAATTCACTTTTACACCTCGGGTGCCTTCATGTTACAATCAAGCCAATACTACCACATCCCCTGCTCGAGTCTGCTCATTAGTCCTTCTCCTTCGCTTAATGATGCTTTCACGCGCCAGGCTGCCAGAGGCTTCAATGTGACTTGACGTTTCCATTCGTAACAACACTTGTCCGCACCCCGCTGAGCGTGACTTAGTTTTACATCTGAAGCATTGACTACCACGAACGTGCGGATGAACGTGAATCTTACCGGCGTGAACGTGGCTCCAAGAAAACTGTCAGCTGTGTTGCTGCAGCCGGCTCGACTTGCAGCTGTAGAAGCGAATTAGACGAGTTGAACTGAATAAGATAATAGATGCGCGTTTACAGAAGGCTGTCGCATCAGTACAGAGTATTGTTGCTGTGACTGCGCATGTTTCTTGAGTATGCTTTTATTGTTAACATCAACAAAGTCGCGAACCATGTTTAACAGATAGATATATTAAAAACGTTTATCGCTAGACTACGGCTAAGACATTGTAAGTGTAAACTAGTCGACACTTGAGTTGGTTGAACAGAACGAATCAGCTCGATCGTAGTGGCTCAATTGGCGTTGGCGCTTGTTCTTTAAATGGAGCAGTGTCCGGCTGTACCACGTCCTATCTTCACCATCTTCATCAGGATCGCGAGTAGCAACGAGCTGTGTGAACTCGTTGGTATTAATCTCGTTGCAAATAGGCTTCAACTTGAACCTGTTCACCGGATGGGCATCTGCCATACCTGCTTGGGTAGCATGGCACTTGTTGTGCCTGCTTGCTTCCTTTAGCGGGCGTAGTGCGTGGCTGTACCCAATGGTGCAGTGCTTCTCATCACTTGAGCGCAGCTTGGTGAGCTGGTTGAAGTCCCAGTCAGTGGGACTAACGCTCTTCTCGTAGATGCCGCATGCTTTGGAAGCAATCTCCGACAGCACACTCAGCACATGACGGATGCTCACTTCAACGAGGTTGTACAAGTTCTGGATCTCGATAGTAATCCACTAGTAAACACATGCACACAGAAGAGAAACGTCAGCAACAAGTAAATTGATAGATCGAGAAATGGAATCATGCACTCAACATGATTGTTCAAACTGGTTAAGTTGTCAATGCGATTGTGTTGAAGACTCGAGTGTTGCTGATGTCGATTTTTTCAGAATGAAGTCGTCCTCGCTCATGCCTTTGCTCCGACCCGTGAGATGCACCGACCCAAGTCTGCGACGTGCGAGTAAGTACGCCTCTCACCGATCAGGCGTACTCTCCATGCTTGTTCAACCCATCAAGCGACTATACTTCCTGCAGTCTCTCACTTGTTCTTCTATACTGAGGTCTGGTCATCTCATGTACCTCGTCCCAAGACCGACTACATGGCTCACGTCATCTTTACCTACCTGGCCTATAGAATAGTAGTCAAAATAAGTAAAATAAACACCTGCAGAACGTCATCTCCAGTCAGCACTCTCTGCATTATGTCAGCACTCTCTACATTCAGTCACTAGTCTCTGATATCCTATCACCTATGCGACGTTAAGAGTTGCCGCGGGAGCGTTTCGGATTCTATTTTTGATCGAAATGCGTACACATGTGGCATTTTCGACAGAAAACACGGTCTCAAGTCACGCGCAGCAGCAGATGAGCCCTTGGGCTGATTATGGCAGTGAACGAAACGACACGAGTGATCAACTTGATGATGACGATGACGGTTACAAAGCGGACGTTGAGCAGAGGTGCTGCTCGCCCAATTGAATGGATCATCGAGCTCTTGTAGCAGTCAAATGATGGAAAGTCGGTGGCAGTAAAGGGGACGACAACTAATGAGGTGCAAATGACAAAGGAGACGCCAAAGAAGACCACAAGACAGAAGGCGAACGAAAGTGCACGAAAGTGCACGAACCTGTGCTGTGTATTCTTCCGTTTCGCGTGATTTGGTGCCACACATTCATTATCGTAAACGTCATCCTGTCAACACTGCGGAAGGTTTTTCATCTCGAGACAAAGCTTTCGTGGTCCTGTGCTTGGACCTCACGCTGCTTGCGTTGACTCACTCGCTCTTGCACTTCGACAAAGTCACGGCATCTGAGCTAGACCTCGATCCAAATGCTGGGAAGTCCACTGTTGAGCTCGTTCAAGCGCGTGGCTACGTAGTGGAGATGCACAATGTCACGACAATAGATGGATACATCCTCTCCATGCATCGCTTACCAATGTCGTACAGAGAAAACCAAGCAGATGCCACCGACAACGACAAGGCAGACCGAAACAAACTAGCTGTTTTCGTCCAGCATGAAATGGTGGCCAGTAGTTTCGCATGGGTGTGCGACTCCCGGAACCACAGTCTCGCCTATGTGCTTGCTGATGCTGGCTACGATGTCTGGCTTGGGAATAATCGCGGCAATACGTACTCGTCCAGCCACGTTAAGTACACGACCAAAGACACTGCGTTCTGGGCCTTTTGTGGAAAGACATGGGCAGTTTGACGTGCCAGCAACGCTCAACTATGCTCTGGAGACGTCGGGACGGGAGACACTGGCTCTTGTAGGGTATTCGCAGGGGTCAACTCAGGCATTCGTTGCGTTTGCTGAAAAACCAGACCCTTGCTCGATCCGTGTCCTATTGTGCGACTCTGGGACCTGTTGCCTGGCTAGGCAATACAGATTCGAGGACGTCCAAGCTCCTTGCTCGTGCCTACTTCGACAAGGTCCTCGAGGCCTCTGGTCAAGTCCAGCTCTTTTCGCATAACGCGTTGCTACAAAAAATCATTCGACCGGCTGCATGTCACATGGGTATGGAATCGTGCGCCTCGGGGTTTGCACTCGCAGTCAAATCTACGGAGAACTTGAACGCATCTCGCATAGGCGATTACGCTTCAGATGTGCCCTCAGGAACCTCCGTCAAGAGTATGCACCACTATGCCCAAAGCATCCGCGACAACACCTTTTCATCGTTCGACTATGGCTGCAGATGTCCTCGCACGCTTGGCATTCACCTGTGTAGCATGGAGTACCCTCGCACTGGATTATTTACTGGTGGAACGACACCTTTGCCACTCGAGCTGACATCAATCAGTTACGATCTGCGTTGCCGTCCAGCACAATTGTCTATGAGAAAGAGATCAGCAGCTTTAGCCATTTGGACTTTGTTTGGGCTGTTCAAGCCAACGAAAAGCTCTACCAACCCCTGCTTAAGCAGCTTGAGCAGTACGTCGACACCGGATATTAGCATAGATGGAACAAAAACAATAAAATGTCGTGTGAAAGAAGAACGATACGGACCGTTATTTTGTGGGTAAATATGCATTGACCGCGTCGCGGCGTGGCGCGGCACGGCCAACCGCACCAACAAATATGCTTAAACAAGCAAATCTGTGTGCCCCACTGATCTAGCCAGCTCCTGCACTTTCGGGACTTCGTTTTTGCGATTGAATTGCGTCAGCACCGATATCAAATCTTCATACATTTCCACCTCAACGCGCGGAGTCTGGGGCGGCACGCCCTGGTGTAACAGCACAAACGTACGCACAAACTCCGAAATCTCGCCGTCCGAGAGACAACGCATCATCAACGCGTACAACTGCTTCGATGAGAGATGGTAGCCTTCGCACTCCATGTTGTACGCAATATGCAGCGTGCGCTCAATCAAACCAATCGTGGTGCCGAGATCAATTAGCGAGATGTACAGCCCGTCTGGAATCGCCAGCTCGTTTGCACTCAGCTCACGCAAGAGCGAGAAACACATGTCGATACCGCACGACCCGTACAGTGCGTTGAGGACGTAGTCAAAGAACATCCTGTCGGTAGCAACACACCTTGACTAGCCATATCTCGTAAAACGTCTTCCACAGCCTTCAAGTCACCGCGAGATGCATGAATGAACGCCATAGTCGTGAATGCCTTCACATCCTGAACGATACCATGCTCTCCCATCGCACCAATGAGCGCAACAGCATTGCCTACTTCACGACGGCGCATGTAGATGGACAGCAGCGATGTGAACATCTGAAGATTCGATGTTAGCTTCCACTCAAGAAACACGTCCATGAGATGAAACGCCTCCTTGATCGAGGCTTTGCGGTGACTCTCCACCATCTCAAGCATTGTAATATGCCGGGCACTATCGACGAGTTGTTCAGCATGTGCGAGAAAAGTTCCTTGGCTTGATCCGGCCTATTCGTAGCTGCAAAACAGCCAAGCGCATCATTGTAGTTTTCTACCTCTAACATCCAGGCACCCGCAAGCTCCTGCTCCGTCAAAAATACCTCGTCCAACACTTCTTCGAGAAAGGTTGGATCCAACTGCATGTGACAATAACGGATCGCCGACCCAAATCCAGCACTACGTGCTACACCTCGAGCAACCATCCCGCGGAACGCATCTTCAAACGTGGAGAAATCCTCGATCTCCGTACATGCTTTCAACACGTTGACGTATATATTTTCATCAGCTAGCAGCACTTCATCCACGATGCCAACCCTCTCTGCAGCTTCGTCGATCGCGTCGTCCACCGGTAAGCCGTCCCCAGCACAAACGAGCCTCTCTCGTGTGCTTTCCATCACTTCATAACAATGCAACGCCAGCGAATATTCATCAAGCTTTACACAGCAGTGAATCGCAGCTACAAAGCCTCGCTCGAGCACTCGTGTCCTCACTCTCTCCACCTTGCCTCCTGCTGCACGGCACGTTCCCTCCACATAGTCCGAAAACACGTGCACCACATTCCTCGGACTCTGTTGTGTGTACACACTTGCTTTAAACAGTTCAAGGAACCCTTGTTGCTGGAAATCTCGCACTGGATCGAACGCAGCACTAGCAAACTACGTGCGTGCAAGCGCCAGCACTTGACCGTGCTTCTTCCTGTGCATCATCTTGGCCATCAAGTGGCCAACCACTGATGGCGGCATCAGCGCTTTACTCTGCCCGCTCCACCCCGTCGTCAATGTCTCGTCTGTAGTAGTAGGAGTAGTAGTACCAGAGCAAATCTCCGACCACAACGTCTGCTGATACAGCAGCAGCTCGTGAGCATCTGCAAACATCTTGATATTGGCACAGCCATGACCACGTCTACGAGCACGCGGGCTACAAATTGCGGTCCGTATCTCCGCTTCAACTGTCTCAAGAGCTCCTGCATCTCATCCGTTCGAAACCCGCGTAAAGAACGCTGTCGTCACACTGTAAAAAACAAATCGGTCCACATGGGTACACTTGCAGTTTCGCAACTACAACTCGCGATTAGACCCAAGAGCTCCGCTGCCACGCGTTCGTCTTGAGCCTCCAGTCGTCGCTGCAGTGCCACGTTCCACGTCCGGACGTCAATCGTCGCCAATAGCGCCGTCTCGTCAATGGCGCGCAACGCGCGACAAGTGGCTACAAAAGTCGTGGGCGGCGTTTGATTGGACAATAGAACGTTCAATTGGTTCGGACTGCGGAGCGTTTTTTCGGCAGCGTCTGATTGACTGGCGACCGCGCGCGCGGACGCAACGCCGAAGCGCGAGAAGAGGAACGATCTTGTCGACGCGGTCCTGTGCATCAACAGAATCGGCGCAATAGAACCGCGTCGGGTGACTGCCACATACCTGCTCGCTGCCACACCCGACGCAGCATCTCGAGCCGTTTGTTTGCTTGAAGCAAACGAGGAGTGAGTGTTTGGTGTCGTCCACACCAACGTCGAGTTTCGTCACAAGAAGGTCGAATAAATAACAAACCAAAAGCCTTAATTAACTAATTTAACAAAACTAATCTCAAAAAAAAATTAAATTACTAAATTTTTAAAATGAATGAGCAACGGACGTTAATTGGAGTTTATACTGAGGTTTTTTTTAAAATCCATTAAACAATATCTTCTCCGGCTGATATAAATATGGCCTTAGACGTAATACGAGAAGTTCATTCTTTTTTATCGTAAACTAATCAAGTACAATATTCTGACAAATTTGATAAAATTATGAAAGATATAATTTAATTTTAAAAAAGTTACAATGTCCGCCACAGCAACTGACTCGTCAGCACACTCATGACTGCGTCCCACGCGAGGTAAATCTATTGGGGTGAATCGTTACATACAATTTATTAGAAATTGTTATTAGGAAATAACTATAAGAGTTATATTCTCAGAATGTTGTCATAAGGACAAATTTTCTGCAGCACTTACGAGTAGTTCCTAATTGGTTGATATAGGTCAATCTACCAACCAACGAAGACGCGCCACGACAGACGCACGCAGTGAGTGGTGAGCAGATAATTGATTTACACATTTGTATTTAGACATAGTTAGATGAGGATAAATAGTGGTTTATGAACAGACATTAACTATGATAAATACAGTTCTGCTTTTTACTTTAACCAAGTACTCGTTTCTTCTTACCGTCTTCCTCTGCACGTAACAGAGTACGTGAAGTGACGAGGCACCGCCTTATTCTGTCGTCAGAATAAGTAGCTTGTACTGTCATCAGTACAAGCTTCAGGGTGCCCCGTTACACCTGGTAGCACTTCGTAGTCCGTCCAAGGACCACGTTCACATCTAACATGAATATGTTAGATGATGAAGATGACCAAAGCTTTCACGCTACGCGTGACGGCTACTCCCATTTGAGCGATGTCGAATGGGATGCGGTTGAACGGATGGGTTCAACCATGGGCATCCATGCTGTTAGCGTCATGCTAGAGGCTCTCAATAGAGATGCCCAACATGCTACTATCGCCAAGTTCATTCAAAATGAACTTGACGCAGAACGCGAGAAAGTAGCCTTGCTTCACCAACAAGGTTCTCAACAACCAGAAAAATGTTGAGAGAACAGGGTGCTCAACAGTTTGAACTGTTGAGACAGCAGCAGGCTGCTGCTGGTGGGTCGATGCACTCGCGTCGACCCGAGACCTTGAAGAGTTACATCTCCAAGTATAGGGGAGTCGAAGAGGACTCCCTCTTGAGATTGTTCGTCGAGTTAGACGACGCCATAAGGGCGCGTCGCACCGACGACGGGTATATGCAAGTTGCATTTGCCCAATCAAATCTGGCAGGACGTGCCAAGACTTGGGCACTGGGGCTCAAGTTGCACGACCCATATGCGTTTGGGTCGTTAGAAGTCTTCAAGTCGCGGCTCAGACAAACGTTTGAACCGCCTAGAGCTGAGTTCAGAGCTCGAACCGAACTCTTGAAGCTCAAACAGGGTAAGCGTGATGTGCACGCTTACGCTCAACATATACGACATCTCACGAGTTGTATAAGTTCCAACCCGGTTGATGAACACACGTTGGTTTCGGTGCTCATGCAGGGTCTTGCAGATGGTCCCGTCAAGACTCACCTGATCCGACTTGAACTAGATTCACTAGAACAAGCCGTTTCCATTGCGGAACAGGAAGACTTCAGTCTGAGACAGGCTTGCGCCAGCTCGACATCATATCGTCAACCGAGACGATATGACAGAGGAGGTCCGGAGTCGATGGAACTCTGTTATGTAGAGAGCGAGAAGGCTCGCTCTACAGACTACAAGAAGTTGCAGAAATGCAACAGATGTCAAAAGACAGGACACTACGCTTACGAGTGTAGTGCCCCTCGTCCAGTGTCTCGCAACACTGGGCGTAGTGACCGTCCACCCATGAGAAAGGGGCAGGGACGCGGGTCCGCTGTTGGTGCAAGACGCAGCAACGGGATGGACCGGCAAAAAACGGACAGGATCAGTAGGTGCGGAGCACCCTACTGGTCCAGCAAAGTCAAGAGAATTTGTAGGCCTCTTGATGAAGGTTGCTCCCAACACACAAACGTTGTGCGTTGCTGCTCTAGGTAATGAGATCTCACTCATTACCTTGAAACTCGAAGTGACGAATAAGTTGTCCCTTCAAGCTCTAGTCAATTGTGGGGCGTCCAACAATTTTGTGCAACGCCAATCGCTAGAAGATGGTCACTTTAAGTTCAGTGAATGTGACACACCTCCTACGAGGATGACGGTACGTCTTGCGACAGGCGCATCCGTAACCGTCATAAAGCGTATAGTGAAGATCCACTATACGATAGAAGATACCCAATATGACGATGACATTGTCGTATTGGATTTGGATGACAAATTTGATGTCGTCCTTGGAATACCGTGGCTCAGAAGGTACGAACCACGAGTAAACTGGCAACATCGAACAGAAACGATGCCTGCCGCTTGTTCATTAGATGGCCGTCTGATGAACGTTTTGAAGCGTCCACAAGTGTGTAGATGTACTACGAGTGAGTGCGATGGCCTCACTTGTGGTACGGTCGTTAGTACGACTGCAAACAAAACCCTAGTGTACCAAACAGTTACACTTCGGAGCAAGATTCCGGCGGCTGTGAGGAAACACAGGCTGCGCCGAAGGTCCACCACTCGAATAAGTCGAGCCCTTCTAGGCCTGAGGGAATAAGTCCCCAGGAAATGACAGAGACATTGGATGTCATAGTCAATAACGGATCAAGTGTAGGCGCTTATACACTTGATCTGATCGCGCCTCCGAAGTTGACTTCGGAGATCACTCAGTTGCCAACGCTCGAACATAAAAGGTTCTTGCGTGATCTTCGTAGTGGCAAAGTAAAGCAGATCTGCGTACTCGTCTCTTACGACGAGTGCGTAGCCGACATAAGGTCAGCAACAATGTTTACTGAGAACGAGAGAGTTCTCGGTAATTCATCGATGGACGAGAGCGTTCCGATAAAGAGACATGAGTTGAGCGATATGACTCCCAATCGTGGAAATCGCTCAAGACAAATCCTCTCTATGAAGATTTGGTTGAATTCAAGGATGTATTCCCTGAAACTGTTCCGTGCGAATTACCGAAGGTTAAAGGTATTCGGCACGAGGTCGAGCTTAAACTAGGCTCGAAGTACTGTGCCATGAAGCAGTGGCCACTGCCTCGTGAACAAGTACTTGCGATCGACAAGTTCTTTGCCGATCGTTTAGCTGCGGGCCATGTGAGGGAATCAACTTCCCCACATAGCTCTCCGACCTTCTGTGTGCGAAAAGCAAAAGGAGGGTGGCGGATATTGCATGCATTTAACAAGTTGAATGCTGCAACGGCACCGGATCAGACGCCGATACCAAGGAAGGACGTAATCATTGATGGCATGTCAAAGAGTACCATCTTTTCGTCCATGGATTTGATGGATGGCTTCTATCAAATCCTTATGCGAGAACGGGACATACCCTATACCGCAGTGAGCACGCCTAGCGGCATGCTCTGGGAATGGCTAGTAATGCCACAAGAGCTTAGTAAGGCCCCTGCCACTTTCAACAGATGTGTATCACATCTGTTGAGACCAGTGCGAGAATTTGTGCCGAGTTATTTCGATGACGTCTTCATCTATAGTCGGGCTACGGACGGAAAGTCGGACGTTGAGGTTCACAGATACCACGTCCGACAGGTTCTTACAATCATGCAAAAGCATCAGTTGTATGCAAATCTCAAGAAGTGTATATTTGCAGCAATCGAAATACCACTTCTTGGGTGCATCGTTGGTAAGAACGGCGTACGTCCTGATCCCGAAAAGACCAAGGCGATCACCGAATGGCCTGTGCCAGTTGATGTCAAAGGTCTCCAT